GAGGCGCTTGCCTGACTCAGCCAGGGCCATGCTCCCAGGCTAAGAAGTGAAACACTGCTGGGTCCCAAGGTCAAAAGACGACAAACATTATGGAATATATTTGTCCTGGGACTGACTGGCTTTTCTCTCAGCTCCTCAGAATTTAGCACTGCCTCATCTCACGCATGTTCTCAATGCTGAGATAGATCCTAGTGGCCGACAAAGCCATGGAGATAAAGGACCAGACTAGAAGACACCCTGACAGCCCCAAGTAGAAGAGCTGGCTCAAGTTGCAAGACATCTAATTGCTCGAGAAGGGGAACCTGAGGTTTTCCCCAATAGCTCTAAGCACAGCCTATTCTTAGCATCTCCTGGCACCAGCCATCGTACCGGAAGGTTCAGTAGAGCCAAGTGAATGAGAGAAAAAAAGCTCCCATTATCCCTAAAACAAGCCTACTTCACCTCCCAGCCTCTGAGAGAACACCAAGCAATGAGAACAGCAACCAATGAAGCATGGGAAGAAAGTATTACCTCATCAGGGTGTGACCCCATTCGCTGACATTACTCTGGGCAAGCCTTTAACTGGAGTAAATTAACCCATGTCGGGGACACAGACTTCACAGGAGACTCCTCGCCTACCCTACTGCTCCTTATTTTCAAATTTTAAAAAGGAGTGGATGGGGAAACAATAGACCTTTCCTAACATTTTCTTAAGCATATCTATATATATAAAAGCCAAGTGACCAGAACAATGGAACGACCGGTCACTATGACGCACACTGCAGCGGCCAACCGATCGGTCCCTCCCAACTGCCCACAGCCCCTCCCCCCTCTGTTCACCCGGCCCCAATCGACCCCCATTGGGGCAGGCGGCTGGACCCCACCCATGCACGAATTCATGCCCCGGTCCTCTACTATCCTTCCTATATAATAAAAGGCTAATATGCAAATTGTACCCTCAACCTGGAGTTCGACTAGGGAGTGGGGCCAGCCGGCCAACCTCCCGCCTCCCCTCCCCCCGGCTGGCCCAGCCCGATCAGCCCTGATTAGAGTGGGTCGGCCGGACCCCACCCATGCACGAATTAGTGCACCAGGTGTCTAGTAGTTATATAATGGTTATGAGCCAGTTTAGATTTCCTCATCCAAAAAATTATTAGTTGGTGACTTTTAGGCAAAAAGCCATTTGCAACAAATTGATAAGGGAGAGTCAAGAGAAGGAGGTAGTCAGGCTTGTTCTAAATCTGCAGTGTAACTGTCAGAGGGACAAACACCAAAAAGAACAATAAAAATGAACACACTTTGGAGCACATTGGCAAGAAACTGACCTTGTTTTTGCAACTTATTACTTGAAGTTCTTTTCATAGCTACAGCCTCCGTTTTTAGTGCAAACTGCCAAAAGATATCCTGTTTTGTGGGGGTTGTTTTACATTTTAAAAATATATTTTTATGATTTCAGAGGTGAAGAGAGAGAGAGACAGAAACATCAATGATGAGAGAGAATCATTGATTGGCTGCCTCCTGCAAGCCCCACACTGGAGATCAGGGATCGAGCCCACAACCTGGGCATGTGCCCTGACCTGGAATCAAACTGTGACCTCCTGATTCATAGGTCAACATTCAACCACTAACCCACGTGGACCAGACCTGTTTTGTTTTTTTAAAAAGCAAATAAATGTCAGCAGACAGATGTTCTAGTTTATTACTTCAATCCTATAATGAATAAAGCTCTCAGTAGACCTGTCTTTCTGCCATCAAACCCCATAGTTAATAGAACCAAAAACAAGATTGTTTTATGTATGCTTCAGAAACTGTTTGCATTTAGTAATTAAAATCAGGGGAAAAGAAGGCACATCTAAGATGACCTTGCTTCCATCAAGTAGAGGTTATTAGCGTTCATTTAAGAACTGATTTGCAAACAAGGCATGGAAGCCACTCTAATTTCAAATATCGAGAGCTGAGTATTTGCGAAGAGAGTCCTGTTTTCATACTGTATTCAGAGGCTATTTTGGCAACATATTAGTAATTATATATTTTATTCTTTTTTAAATATATTTTTTACTTATTTCAGAGAGGAAGGGAGAGGGAGAGAGAGATAGAAATATCAATGAGAGAGAATCATTGATCAGCTGCCTCCTGCAAGCCCCACGCTGGGGATTGAGCCCACATTGAGTCATGTGCCCTGACTGGGAATCGAACAATGACCTCCTGGTTTTTAGGTTGATGCTCAACCATTGATCCACGTCAGCTGAGCATCTTTTATTCTAAATTGACTTAAACTTAAAATTGACAGAATGTAGTGGTGAGGATTGTTGCTGATTGATGTTGTTGTTTCCCTAAGGGCTTAAAAACAGCTATTTTTCCTTGAGGTAGGCTAACCCAATGGCTGGTTCACTTGCCTAACAATGTAGCTCACAGTCAAGACTCCTTCCACTTTGTGGCCAAGCCTATTTGAACCCAGCCCAGACTGCAACCCGCCAGTCTCAAGCATGTCAGAATCTGTGTTGAAATCTTCAAACTGGCTCTAGCTGGTTTGGCTCAGTGGATAGAGTGTTGGCCTGTGGACTGAAGGGTCCCAGGTTCGATTCCAGTCAAGAGCACATGCCTGGGTTGCTGGCTTGATCCCCAGTAAGGGGAGGCAGCCAATCAATGATTCTCTCTCATCATTGATCTTTCTATCTCTCCCTCTCTGAAAAAATAAAAATATATTTAAAATATATTAAAGTGTACAATTCCGTTGTGTGTTTTGTGTGTTTTTTTAATCTTCAAACTAGAGTTCTACAACAGAGCAATTTTACCACATTAAAAAAGGACTAAAGACCAAAATCCTCTGGAGAGATGATTCTAGCTTGGGGAAATCCTTGAAATAAATTGTATATGGAGGCTGTGAGAAAGGGACCCTAAAGAGATGAATATTCTCTTTCGTGATCATGTCTCAAGTACCTTGTAAAAACTTTTATATGTGACACCTTAGTTCATTCAGCTGACCTTTACTCAGCTCTTCTCTGTGCCTGGTGCTATTTTTATAAAGATGTGTCTGCCCCATGGGGCCAGGTCTTAATTCAAGTTTGGCTCCCACCACTTCCAGAAATGCGCTATAAGAAATAGCTCAGCCAGGCCGGCGTGACTCAGTGGTTGAACGTAGACCTATGAACTAGGTCCTAGGAGGTCACGGTTCAATTCCCCATCAGGGTACATGCCCAGGTTTCAGGCTTGATCCCCAGTGTGGAGTGTGCAGGAGGCAGCCAATCAATGATTCTCTCTCATCATTGATGTTTCTATCTCTCTCTCCCTCTCCCTTCCTCTCTGAAATCAATAAAAAAAATTTTTTTTAAAAGAGAAAGAAATAGCTCAGAGTTCCCTAATAATTTCAAGGTTCCTTAATAATTTTTATTACCTGTTGAGAACTTACTGTGTGCCAGGTACTCTCCATATAGCAAAGGTTCCCAAACTTTCTTTGTTCACAGAGCCCACAGTGTCTCAGGAAGTTTTCCACCATTCCCTTAAGCCAAAAGAAATACCTAACAGCTCCATTTATTAAATAATTAGATCCAAACAACTTAAAAATTATTTACTGTATATACTAATAACTAAGTAGCTGTTCAGGCAAAAATGATACATGTACATTAAAAGAAAATATTAGTGTTATTTTATTCTGAAATAACCAGCATTACTTAATAATGGGATGTGTGTACCTAATGCACACTGCTCAACTTTTTAATCAGATCAGACACCACGGCCTTCATTTTGTGTTCAGGTGGATTTTCACATGGTACTTGCTTTTTATCACACTGAAAACCCAGCTTCGTGAAGATAGGACATATGGCATCAAGGAATGCAGCACCATCACATGTTGAAATTGTGACCTACCTCTGGTACCCAACAGATGTCACTGTGCTTCCCTCAAAAATTTAAAATATCCCGTGGTGGTACCTGTATGAGTTCACTGCAGAGCCTTAGGGCATCTCAACACAGTTTGGGAACCAGGGACACACACGGTTTCATTTCCTCTTTACAGCAAATCTGCTTTGTAGGTACTCCTCCAATTTTATAGATCTGGGAATTAAGGCTGAGGACAGTTAAATAATTTACAAAGTCCACATAGCTAGTAAGTCGCGCTGCTGGGATCTAAACCTAGGGCTGCCCAACTCAGCACCCACATGCTCTCCCTGTTAGCCACACTATCTTTCTCACCACCTTTGCAGGATATTGCATCACAGACCATCAGAGGTGAAAGGGATCCCAGGGGTGATTTAGTCCCAGCGCTCTGGTTTTACAGATAAAAAACTGATGCTCAAGAAGGGACATTATTTGACCAAGCAATACCCTGGTTAAAGGCAGGGCCCAGAGTCCAAGCCAGGCACTGTGTTCAGGGTTTATGTTAATTAATTATTTTATTTTAATACAATATTTTAAAATAATTAAATTCTAAAATATAACATATACATAGAAAATGGCATAAAGCATATATGTACTATATATGTGTGTATGTATCTTTACAATAGTTATACAGCAAACGCCCATGTACCATCACTCAGATCAAGAAACAAAACATTGCCAGCATTACAGAAGCTCCTCCCCCCCAATCACAGCCACCACCTTCCTTTTTAGAGGTGACTTTATCCTGACTTTTTTTTTTTTAAGAGGGAGAGGGAGAGAGACAGAGAGAAATATCCATGCGAGAGAGAAGCATCAATCTGCTGCCTTCTGCAAGTCCCCCACTGGGGATCAAGCCCACAACCCGGGCATGTGCCCTTGACCGGAATCGAACCTGGGACCTTTCAGTTCGCAGGCTGACGCTCTATCCACCGAGCCAAACCGGCTAGGGCTATCCTGACTTTTATAATCATCATTTCTTCATTTATAATTTTACCAACTGTTGCCAGAGCCATAAACAATATATGGCTTAGATAACAAACAGCTTCCCTCCAGGGCCCAGCTTCCTGCTCTTGGCACACCCAATGCTCAGAGGCTGTACTCAGACTAACCTTCATGTCTTCCTGGCAGGCCTTCTACTTCCTGGATCCCTCATCCAGTTGGTTCTTGAGAAAACAGTACATGGGAAGTAAAAAGAAAAAAGTAAAAACTGCATATCTTTATTGTATCTTCAAATTTGAACAATAATTTGGCTCAGACCAATTTCCATGGAATGTTGTCTCCATTATCTTCTCTCTTCCAATGGCACTTCTTGAGAAATTTGATGTTATTCTTATTCCTTTCCTTTGTGAATGCCCTGTTTTCCTCTCGGGAAGCTTTCAGGATCTTCTCTTTATGCCTGGCTCTGGAGTTGGGGAGTAGGGGATGCTATACAGTACCTAGATCCCCCTTCAGAAATGCAGGACTTACTCCGCCAGCTTCTGGGAATGCTGCTATGACCTTCAGCTGTCAGCTGTCTTTGGGGAACACCTTAGCTGAAGAAGTACCAGCCTGTACACAACTGACAATGCGGTGGTCTGAAGACCCAGCTCCCTCACCTCAATTGGCAACAATTCTGAAGGCCCAACCAGCTCTATAGCTCCCTATGGGTGGTCACCTGAGGTATTCACTGGGTCTGCATCAGAGTCCAACTTCTTCCTCTGACCAGTCCTGTTTCCTTCCCCTTCCTTCCACAGGTGTTGATCCCAAGAGCACTCTAGTAAGTGTCCTGCCTGCAACTCTCCATCTCAGAGTTTGCGTCCCTGAGAATCCAATTTGCAGCTACAAGGTGCCTTGCTGTGAGTCTTGTTTGCATTCATCACATTGAACAATCACATCAGTGGTCCCATAGTATTGCTACCGTTTACATCCACTGTTAGTATGGTGGCATTATGCCCATTTTAGAGGTGCACAAACTCACGCTATGAAAGAGAAATGACTTGTACAGAAAAGTCAAACAGGTAGTAAGTGGTTGAAATGGGATTTGAAAACAGGTCTTAGTGCAAAACCAGTGCAATGTTCATTTCTGGAGTGACTGTGGGAGTTTGGCTACACACACTGAGTCCCAGGCTTTCTGAGGAAGGAAAGAGCAGACATCTGACTGAGTAGAAAAACAGGAGCCAAGGACACAGAATGAACACAGTTGTCTGTATTCTCTCAGGACAAGCCATTTTGTTCCCGTGGGAGAATGCTGCAATCAGTGGACATTGTGGCTTATGGCTTCAGATACCATGGCACCCACTCAAATGAAAGCTGAACATTTCTGCACAAGAGGTTCTGGTAAATATTGGGAGAGAAACAATTGGAGAGAGAGAGAGAGAGAGAGAGAGAGAGAGAGAGAGAGAAAAGGAAGGAAGAAAGAAAGAAAGAAAGAAAGAAAGAAAGAAAGAAAGAAAGAAAGAAAGAAAGAAAGAAAGAGAAAGAAAGATTCTGTCTAATGGTTTTCATTTCTGACAAAGATTTTGTATTTAACTCTATTGCCAGCAAAACTCGTGTCATATTGGGAAGATTCCTTCTCTCTGGGCCGCAATTTTTCCTTTGTACAAATTAAAGGGTTAAAATAAATAAATCCCATGGGTTTTAAAAACTTCATGAATAACCACATATCTCTTTGAATACCTATTCCCAAGACATAGACTTCCATTCCATAAATATTTAGTAAATGCCTGCTATGAGCTAGGCACAGTGCTAGGCTCTGGGAACATATAAGTGAACAAAACAAATTAAAATCCTGGGCCCAAGGACCTGACATTGAACTAGAACACTTACACAGTGCTTACCTTGGGCCAAGCAGAGGTCTGAGCACTTACACATACCAACTCATTTAGTCCTCATAACATCTCTATGAGGTAGGTACCATTAACATTATCCCCTTTTACAAATGAAGACAGAGGTACAGAAACATGAAGTTATACTAATTAGTTACAGAGCCAAGATGTGAACCCAGGTAGGCAGTCTGACTTCAGGGTCTAGGCTAACTCTGGAAAAGTCCAGTGGAACTATTTTCAAAATTAATTGGTTTTGAATTTCTTGCCAAAAGATGATGACCTTATAAAGTTGGTGTAATAGGCCAATTTCAAAACAGTATGTACTTAGAAAATTTACAAGAGAGAGAAACATTTTCTATTCGATATTAATAGAAAGTGAGAGACAGAAACTATCTATATATATAAAACCCTAATATGCAAATAGTCCCGATCACTCAACAGCGGGTGCAAGTGGCAGCTGCTGGCCCCAATTGCCCCTGAGGCTTCTCCAAATCCCTCTGCTCCTGAGGAGCAATCAGGGCTGGCAGCTGCCTCTTTGCACCTGCTGCCCGGCGACTACCCCCGTTTGCACCCGCTGCTGGTACCAGCCTTCAATCGCTCCCATGCCATCAGCGGGTGTGAGCGGGGCCAGTGCTGTCAGCACGTGGGAGCGGCAGTGCAGCAGCGGCGGGAGTGGGGCTTCAGGCAGACAGGGGACTGGGGGCCGCGGTGGGAAGGGCCGGGTGGGGGAGGATGGGCCAAGACCCGCCCCTGTGCCCACTGCACCTCGTGGCCCACAGTTCCTTTCAAGGTGCACGAATTCATGCACTGGGCCCCTAGTTCTCTTATAAATTTTAAAATATTTTTTAAAAAATCCTCACCCAAGGATATGTTTTTATTGATTTTAGAGAGAGAGGAAAGGAGAGAGAAACATTGATGTGAGAGAAACATTGACCAGTTGCCTCCCTTATGTGCCCCAACTGGGGATCAAACTCACAACCTAGGTATGTGTCCTGACTGGGAATTGAACCCACAACCTTTTTGTGTATGGGACAATGCTCCAACCAGTTTAGCCACCCAGCCAGAGCTGTATATGCTATAATTTAAATGACTATAGTACCAGGCCCTGGACAGGTAGCTCAGTTGGTTAGAGCACTGTCCAGATATGCCAAAGTTGTGGGTTTGATCCCTAGTCAGGGCATATATAAGAATCAATCGATGAATGCATAAATAAGTGGAACAACAAATTGATGTTTCTTTCTCTCTGCCTCTATCTGTCTCCCCCTTCCTCTCTAAAACCAATCAATCAATCAATAATTTAAAAAATAAATGAATATAGTGCTAGCTGAGAGCTTAGAGACATTTATTTTAATTACTAAGTTTCTTATTTTTGGTTTACATATTCCTTGAAACAATATGACAATTAGGAACAATAATCCTCACATTATTTTGTAGGTGACAACCAATAATTATAATACACTATTTGCTGATATTAATTAATGTCACCCACAGAAAAATCTGTAAGAAAGGATGGTCTAACCTTTGGGTACACCCTCTGGTGGTTCTGCCCAGGCTCAAGCCAAGCTCCAAGAGGCAGCCTGGGCAAATGTCCAATTGTTCTATCAGGGCTGGAAGCGCTCCTCAATATCATCTTGTCTAGGTACCTTACTTTACAATTGAGGGGGAAACTCAGGCTCAGAAGGGAAGGGAGATAATGACAGATGCAGAGCTAGAGCCCAGGCCTCCTGTTGGGATACAGTCTTATTGATTTCAGACAGAGAGAGGGAGAGGGAGAGAGAGAGAAACATCAACCAGTTGCCTTCTGTACCAGCACCCTGGTCAGATGGAACCCACAACCTGGGTATGTGCCCTGACTGGGAATCAAACCCACCACCTTTTGTTGCATGGGACAACGCTCCAACCAACTGAACCACACTGACCAGGGCACACACGGAATTTTAAAAACTGTATTCTCCTTCCTATTGCCCATTTCTCTTCATTATCTCTCCCTTGTTTTCTCTGGGAAAGCTGAGTTTGTGGGACAAGCAGGGTTATAGTCATTTAGGAGTTAAGAGGGAGTGATTTCATCTCTAGAAAACCATGAATTCCAACTTGTGCTTCTGAATGGTCAAAATGATATCCAGAAAAAAGAAAGATATCCAGAGGCTGAAGCAGTATCCCTCAGATCACATGGAAGGTAAGAGCTGGACTCTGAGCAGGCAGATAACTCCTGGAAAGGTGTCATTTTAGAGGCAGGGATGGCTCTGACTACCTACTCTACACCAAATGCTTCTTCCTACTGATTCAAGCAATAATTCCATCATCAGAGTTTCTTATGAAATGCAAATTCCCCTTGCAAAGGCTAATAATTCAATGGGCAATCTCTCCAAATGAATGGCTTCCATAGAAACTCCGACCACTTCCCTGACTTTCCAATGCACTCTTCCTAACCTGTGTGTACTCAGGCTCACATGTTCATGCATTGTTGGAGACCCAGCTCTTCAACAGTCTGTATTTCATCTGCACACATTCCCTGCTGTGTCCTCCACAGGCTGGGGACATCTCTCCATCCAGTTCTGTTAGAGGCCACATGAGAGCAGCATCACATAGGACAACGTGTGAACCCCTCTGCTTGCTGTGCAGATCTGTCTGATTTGTTAAAGAATGTGCTCTAGAGGACAGGATCTGGTCTGCTGGTTCACAGATATAGTCCCAGCACTTAACCTGGTGCCTGGTCCACATGGGAGATTTTATATTTATATAAATACACACACACACACACACAAAAGGCAAACATGCAAATTGACCATACCTTCGCTACACCTTAAGCCACACCCACCAGCCAATCAGAGCAACTATATGCAAATTAACCCAGCCAAGATGGCGGCCGGCAGCCACGGAGCTGGAGAAAGCAGGAGGCTTGGTTGCCCCAATGATGGAGGAAGCCAAGCTGCCGCAGCAGCTCTAAGCTCCACTCAAAGCAACAAAGTTTCAATTATAGAAGCTAAATAAACCCCACATACCTGCTTTCAGCTGGCCGTGGCCACGGAGCTAGAGCGAGCAGGAGGCTTCCCTCCAGCCCACCCTGGCCGGCTCTGAGCTCCTCTCAAGGCTACAAAGTTTCAATTATAGAAGGTAAATAAATCTCAGAATTTAAAAAAAAGGAAAAAAAGGAGAGGCTGGGAGCTTCCGTCGCCAGGGGGCTTGGCCAGCCTGAAAACGGCCCTCAGCCCCTACCCAGACTGGCCAGGCACCCCAATGGGGACCCCCACCCTAAAGGGGGTGTGGCCAGCCTGTAAACAGCCATCAGCCCCTCACCCAGGCTGGCCAAACCTCCATGGGGTGAGGGTCCCCACTGGTGGGGGGCTTGACCAGCTTGCAAACAGCCATCAGCCCCTCACCCAGGCTGGCCAGGCATCCCAGTGGGGACCCCCATCCTGAAGGGGGTGTGACCAGCCTGCAAACACCCATCAGCCCCTCACCGAGGCTGGTTAGGCACCCCAGAGGGACCCCCACCCTGATCCGGCACACCCTTCAGGGCAAACCAGCAGGCCCCCACCCATGCACCAGGCCTCTATCCTATATAATAAAAGGGTAATATGCAAACTGACCCTAACAGCAGAATGACTGGGAATGACTGGTCACTATGACACACACTGAACACCAGGGGGCAGACGCTCAATGCAGGAGCTGCCCCCTGGTGGTCAGTGCGCTCCCACAGGGGGAGCTCTGCTCAGCCACAAGCCAGGCTGCCAGTACAGCGGTGGTGGTGGGAGCCTCTCCCGCCTCCTCAGCAGCGCTAAGGATGTCCGACTGCAGCTTAGGCCTGCTCCCCACTGGCAAGTGGACATCCCCCAAGGGCTGCTGGGCTGCCAGAGAAATGTCTGACTGCCAGCTTGGGCCCGATCCCCCCGGGAGCAGGCCTAAGCCAGCAGGTGGTCATCCCCCGAGGGGTCCCAGACTGCAAGAGGGCACAGGCCACCTGAGGGACCCCCCTGAGTACACAAATTTTTGTGCACCAGGCCTCTAGTATAGATATATAGATATATAGATATATAGATATATATATAAAAGGCTAATATACAAATTGTCCCCTCAGGAGTTCAATCAGGAGACCAGGAGTTCGATCGCTCACTATGACGTGTGTTGATCTCAAGGGGGCAGCATGGAATGAAGGAAGACCCCAGCCAGAGAAGGAAGGCCCCGGCCGGCAGCCAGAAGGAAGGCCCTGGCTGGCAGCCAGACAGAAGAACCCAATCGGCCCTGTTCACCGGCCAGGCTTAGGATTCTTACTTTTGCACGAATATTGTGCACCTGACACATACAGACCAGCAGGGGGCAGATGCTCAACGCAGAAGCTGCCCCCTGGTGGTCAGTGCGCTCCCACAGCAGGAATGCCACTCAGCAGCCCACCAGCCCAGCAGCAGCCACTCATTCCCTCAGTAGTCCTGCAGGTCCAATTTCTGGAGAAGGGGCCAGGCACCTACAGACCAGTGCTGCCTGGCAGCACTGCAGCCTCCTGGAAGTTGGCCTTGGGCACTGCGGCTGCTTCCCCTCCCTAGATGCTCCACAAGGAAGAAAGGATATAAAAGTGGCCACCAGGTGGCTCCTGACAACAGGCGCAAACGTCAGCGGATGAATCCAGATCCCTGGCTGGCAAGGGCGTCCCACCACCCACCCAGAGGGCCAATCACGTCCCCCCCCCCCCCCCCCCCGCCCGGGGCCCCCCCCATGGATGAATTAAAATTTAACTATATTGGGAGATGGGAGGGTGAGAAAGACACATTTTTGTTTAGTGGGTGGGGAGAAAAAAAGAGAGGCA